GAGGCTGCGGTGGCCGGGAGCAGCCACTGCACTCCAGTCTGGGCAACAGAGTGAGACTCCAACTCAAAAAAACAAACAAACAAAGAAAACAACAAAAAAACCCCAGCCCTGATACTGTGAAAATTATTTTGCTTTACCATATTCGAGATAGGAACATACGGATTCATAAAGTCTGGCTTTGAATGCAGAAGGGGAAGAGGCTTGCAGCTCCTCCTAGCTCTGTTTTCATTAAATCATGGCCAAAGAGGACTTTAGAGTACTGGGTAGGCAGCTGAAGGCTTCCAGGGTGACTGAGTGGCAGGAATGAGTGTGGTGGATGCCTGGTATCTTGAAAGTTTGTACATGGCAAATGACTTACCAAGGTAGGAGTGGCTCCCCTGCTTGGGGTTTTCACCTCCATGACAGGGACTGGGGAGGGGCCAGATATCTCATTATGTACAGTTCCATCCTACAACCATCAGACAAAGTACTCAAGTCTGGGGTCACCATTTAGGTAAGTATACGGGCCAGGTTGCACATGTAAGCAGCCAAGTTTCCCAATATGTAGGAATCCCAAATGACCAGAACATCTTTAAGTAGAGCTAGCATTTTTCAACAAATTAACATGTTTTGAGAACAACTGGCTATCATTGGCTACTCAGAGGAGGCCCATTAACTAACTACATGCTTTGCAGGAAGTGGGGAGGACTCATGTCATAAAAAGGGTCATGTGGTTTCTTGCCCGCCAACCAACGCCTTGCAACACAAACATGCCTGCTCCTGAAAACTTCTTTGGGAAGAAATGAGTCCGGCCTGCCCTTGCCTTCCCAGAGAAGGCTCATTCAGCAGGAGCTAGGAAGTCTTGTTTGTCACTTATAGTGCAGTCCGCATTTTCAGACCCTTCTCTGGGAGAGTCTGTTAACATGGCGGAGGGGGCAGGAAAGGTATATGGAAAGCAGGAGCCTAGAAGAGGTAAAATCAAAGGCTGAAGACCCTCCCAAGAGACTGGGAATCCAAAGTCTTTCCTGGCCCTGAACAACTTTTTCCAGGTTATTTTCCATTTTCAAATGCCAAGGCAAGTAAATGGACTCACACGAACATGGCCCTGGACATCACATTCACCTTCTCTGCGAACGGGCAGCCTCCTAAAAGCCCTATATCGCCCGGAATCTTTCTAACCCCCATACTGTATGCTTGAAGCTGGAAAAATGGTTTTCCTGTCCCATCTTCTCTCAAATATAAATGTATCACTTCAGGATGGGGGGGTATCTCTGGCCTTAGGACACATGGACAAATTATTTTGAACAGAATGCCTGAATGGAGGAGACCTTTAGTTGGAAAGATGAATCAACTTTTATCATAACATGGACTGTCAGACTAAAACGACAGTAGCCTAAGAGTTAAAGACTTATATCCTTTGTTTGGTGTATACTCACACATCAAACACAGGATACAAGTAAGAGAGTAGGTCAGAGAAAAAGAAGGAAACTGGAAACTATGAAGCAGGAATGAAGCTTCTCCAAATAATTGCTCATGCTGGAAACTTTTGTAACAGCTTTATTGAGATAAAGTTCACATACCACAAAATATTCACTCATCTAAACTGCAACCGTTATCATAATAAACTTTAGGAAGTTTTCATCACCCCAAAGAGAAACCCTGCACCCATTAGCCATTACCCCTCAACCCAACTGCCCACGCTAGCCCTAGGCAACCACTAATCTACTTTCTGTCTCTATAGATTTGCCCATTTTGGACATTTAATATAAATGGAATCCTATAACGTGGTATTTTGAGACTGGCTTTTTTCACTTAAGCATAGCGTTTTTAAGATTCATCCATGTGACAGTCTCTGTTAGTACTTCATTCCTTTTTATTGAATATCATTCCATTGTGTAGACATACCACTGTTATTATCCATTCATCCACTGATGCACATTTGGGTTGTTTCCACTTTTTGGCTATTATGAATAACGCTGCTATGAACATTTGCATGTTTTTGTGTGGATGTATGTTTTCATTTATCTTGGGTATATACCTGGGAAATTGCTGGGTCACATGATAACTCTGTTTGACTTTTTGAGGAAATACTTTCCCAAGTGGCTGTTCCATTTTACATTCCCACCAGCAACATATGAAGGTTCCAATTTCTCCATATCCTGAACAACTCTTGTTATTGTCTTTGATTATAACCATCCTCGTATACGTGAGGTGGAGTCTTATTGTGTTTTTGATTTGCATTTTCCTAATGACTAATGATGTTGAGTATCTTTTTTGTGTGTTTACCAGCCATTTGTACATCTTCTTTGGAGAAACATCTATTCAAATCCTTTGCCCATTTTAAAACCAGCTTGCAACACAATGAGTTTATTAATTCTTTGTATTCTTTAGATATACTTCCTTTATCAGATACTATTCGCAAATATTTTCTCCTGTTCTGTGGGTCAAATTTTTCATTCTCTTGATAGAGTCCTCTGAAGCACACAATTTTAAATATTTTGATGAAGTCTGATTTATTTTTCTTTGGTTATTTGTTCTTTTGGTGTCATATCTGAGAAACCACTGCCAAACCCAAGGTCATGAAGATATACCCCTGTGTTTCTCTTATGAGTTTTATAGTTTTATCTCCTACATTTAGATTTTTGATCCATTTTGAGTTTTTTGTGTATAGTGTGAGTAGGGGGTTCAACTTCATTATTTTCCATGTGGATATACAGTTGTCCCACCACCATTTGTTGAAAAGACTATTCTTTCCCCCATTGAATGGTCCTGGCACCCTCATCAAAATCAACTGACCATAAATGTGAGAGTTTATTTCTAGATTCAAAATTCTATTACCTCACTATCTTCATTACTGTAGCTTTGTAGTAAGTTTTGAAATTGGGACATGTGAGTCATCCAACTTTGCTCTTCAAAACTGTTTTGGCTATTCTGGGTTTCTTGACTTTCCATAAAAATTTTATGATCAATCTATCAGTTCGGCAAAGAAATCAGCTGGGATTTCACACTGGAAATTACTCAATATTTCAGAATTTAATATACAATAAGGTACTGAGTTCCATAAAACATTTATCTGCAGGTAACTGGCTTACAACAGCATACTAATTATTTACTTCGTTGCAATTCACGACAGAATTATAAAAAATAAAACTTTTCTTGAGGGAAATCTGAAGGCTTGCTGTCAAGCACATGAACTATGTTTGCAGTATCATGTTTTTGGTAGGGGAAATATTTAATTAAAAAATATATATAATGTAGCAAAAACTCACTCACCTTATTTTAACATGTTTACTTTTATTTTTAGAAATGCTAGAACGTGGTCTACACTTGGAGATTTTTTTTTTTAATTTTGGTAAAATATACACAACATTTTTCAGATTTTTAAATTAAATGAAATGTTATGAACAAACAAGTAGCATTAAGCGTTGCCAATATTAAGAAAAAAATCTGAGCTGATTCTGGAACTCAGTGTGGGAGGAGGTTTCTTGGACAAAGCAAAGGTATTTCAAAATAGAGGTACGGATATGAATTCATTCTCAGAGCCCAAAAGATTGCACCCCTAAAGCGAGCCTTTGAATGGATGCTGACAGAAGCCTGTCTTTCTGTCCACTTGGAGCTGGGTTGCTAGGGCCTGCTGACTAACAGCTTACAAGGGCTGTTGCTTCCCCTGTGATCCCAAGAATAAGTCTAAGCTGGGTTGTTCTTAACCCTAACCTTACAGGGACAATATGAAGATCAAATAGGAAACACATATCTCAAGTGCTTCATGGTCACCCAATGAACTTTCTCTAATTGGCATTCAAGATTCAGTGACATTCTTTCTCAACCTCCTGAAGCTGCCAACTGAGGCACAAATAATAGCAATAATGTTATAATTACTAATACTTATTGAGAGTATATCAAGTGCTTTGCAGGTTATCATCTCATTAAATTCTCACAACAACCCTATTAGGTAAGTACTACAATTACCTTGATTACCTCCTTTTAAAGATAAGGAAACTGAGGCATAGAGAAGCTAAGTACCTTGCTTCAAGTCACATGAGATATTGGTGATGAAGCCAGGGCTTCCTACTTAGGCTGACTCTAGATCTTGGGCTCTTAGTTTTTTTTGAGTTGGAGTCTCACTCTGTCACCCAGACTGGAGTGCAGTGGCATGCTCCTGGTCACCGCAGCCTCACCTGCTGGGTTCCGGCGATCCTTCCACCTCAGCCTTCCAAGTAGCTGGAAATACAGGCGTGCACTACCACGCCCGGCTAATTTTTTGATTTATTGTAGAGATGAGGTCTCACTTGCCCAGGCAGATCTCGAACCCGCAGGCTCAGGCAATCCACTCACCTCAGCCTCCCAAAGCGCGGGATTACAGGCTAAGCCACCGAGCCTGGCTTGGGCTCTTATTTAAGTACTTCCCCAGAGTCTCTGGACCTTCAGTGACTTATTTCAATGAAATGTTTACCCTACAAACAAATCAACTATCACCTGCTCAGAAATGGAATGGAAGGTAGAACATGAATTTTTGTAAGCTTTTAAAGAACATGTTACACGTGAGGGTCATTATACCTGCTCCAATTAGTACACTTATTCCATCAATACAGATAGACTTTTCTAAGTTTGCTACCCTTTTCCTTCACTTGACTAAGTTGTCCTTATTTCTGTTCCTAGAGTCGCTTCAGTCAAACTTTTTTATACACTCTGTGTTGGAAATTGTTTTCAAATATTTGAACTTTGGAGTTACTTGAATAAACCTGAAT